TAATGACCCTCATTACGCATTTCTGATGTGCGAAGATAAAGCCAAATGTCAGCACAATAAATCACAAGCACAGTGTCGTGCTGCTGATGATACGCCCCTGCGTTTTATTTTCGAAACTAATTTTTGCTGAAATTTACGAGAATTTCTTTGAAAGCATCAGCAGCGGCAAAAGAAGATACTATAATTAATTTTGTTTATGCTTTGGGTCCACACTCCAGCCCAGCGCTCTGGCGGGTGTCTCTCTATTTTTGGTAGCAGTTGCGCGGAAAAAGCCAAAAGCCGGCTAATGGAAATGACATTTTGTGGTTGCAGCTATGGTTGTTGTTCGAGTTGTTGTTGTTGTTGCACGCTTTTCCTCACGCTGGCTCTTAGCCGCTAGATATATGGTGGCAAGTGCGAATTGCAAGTTTCTCACTAAATTAAAATGCGATGCCAAAGGCGATTCATAATTAATGTGCGGCTCTGTCTGGAGGTGCCGAAAGAGACACATTTGGCTTTCGCTGTGGCATGCAACTGTTGCTGCTGACTGCATGACTGAATGACTGCATGACTGACTGACTGGCTGAGGGAACAGCAGTTCTTTAGCCATGAAACTGCCGGACTATGGAGTATTTTTAAGGTACTTGCCCTACGCTGGGCAACATAAATATAAATAATAAAAAGAAGAAAACTACACTTCTGGGTGTAGGAAAATATATTAGTCCCGTCTTGGCTGTGCGCCAATTCCTGAATTTGTTGGAGCAGCTGAACTCGTTTGTCCATTTCCCTTTGAATTGCCTCAACAGCTGTGCGCACAGACAAACCTATATACATACATAAATGATATATGTATGTACATGCATAAATGTATATCTGAACGATACTCGTGTATGCAAACATTTTTACATAACGGCAGAGACAAGTTCAAAGCGCATTTATAATGCTGTATGCGCCCCAGAAAAACATAAACCACCCCGGTCGGGATCGGATGGGCTGTCACATGAAATCAACCACCGTGTCGGAAAACCTTTCACTCAGCCAGAGTCAATAAATAAAACAGTGGCCAGTTGTGTGTATAATTGAAATACATTTGCAGGGAATCTCTGGCTAGGCCAAATAGTTCCCATCCCTCTTCATACTCTATTTATGTTTGTTCAATAATCCAAATCCGAAGCCAAAAATGCAGTTGCATTTTTTTCCACATTTGTTTGTTTGTTTGTCAAACCCCCGCAACCACCGCTCGCACATGCCACGAAAAGTGCTCGTATTTTGCAGCTGCATGCGCTTGGGTGTGAAAAAGGAGGAATAGACGATGTCCCACACACTCAATGGCATAAGTATGCTGACAAAGAAAATTAAAGGCAAAGAGTTTGATATACAATAAGAAATAGAATATGAAATAGAAGTTCCATTTCAGCAACGTCAGGAAATTTGAAATTGTTTTTAAAAATTATACAATTTTAATTCAAATTCTATATTAAAACAAAAGTGGAATGCTCAGAAGAATCTAGATTCTAAGTTTGGTTGTTCTAGATCTTATATTTTCTGAGATCCTTGCGTTCATACAGACAGACAGAACGACTCGTCTTGTCGCACCGATCAAGTATTTAATTTTGGGTAGTCTTACACAGCCTTCATTGCTTATAGTTTTAGAGTTATATTTTTTCCTTAAAATTTATTTGGTGTACATACTTTTGCTACTCAGTGTTTTATATATGGTTGTGGTCTTTGCTAAGTCAATGGCGCTTGCATTAGCTTGCGAAAACATAAAAATGGAAGTTGCTGCTCAAGCTTGAGAGAGTCTGGCGGGTTGAAGAGCTACTTCATGTTGTTGTTGTTGTTGTTGGTCTTGCGGCTCTGCTGTTGTTGTGTGTTTGTTTGTTTGTTTGTTTGTTTGCCTGGCTACGGCTACTCTATTTGTGGCTGCCACATGTTAAGTAGGAACAGGGCATACGACTAGGCCACAAAACCGCTAACCAGCCCCAGCCCCAGTCCCAGCCACCCAAACGAACAGAAACCAACCTGCTGCATATTTAAAGATGCTGCGTTTTTCTCTTTTTGTGCACAAAAGCAACAAAGGTGGCAACATCCATTAACAAAAGCTGCAAGCAAGCCAAGCACATCTTTGAGTTTGCCGTCGTCGTCTATCGTATGGTTTTGTTGTTTGTTTTGTTGACACATGTGTGTGTTTTATGGACTAGGGAGTGGGCTCGGGAGGTTGCAACTCGCAAGCTGCGGACGACACTAGACGCGCTATTAATTGTTTCACAGCAGCTGAGAAAATGCGGCGCTAAAGTCAAGTCAGTGGCAAGCAGTTTTGAACATGAAACGTAAGAAGTTTCGGCAGAGAGCAGCGGATCGGAGCGAGGCAGACAGGCGGGCAGAGGAGCCCAGACTTGCCATCGCCATCTAATAACTGAAAATCGTGACTTTATGTCGCACTTGAAGGCAGCAACTAGGGAGAATACAATGCTTTGCTCAGCTCATAAGTACGAACATGTGTATGTACGCATGTTAAGTAAATTTGTACAGTGGACACCAGCTAATTGAAATTCTGATATTAGACAAAAAAAAGCTAGGTACTTACACGCTATATTTCAGAAACTTATTTAATTGTACTTAAAAAAAATCGCCTCACAATTTAAACAAAAAATATTTTCTTTGAAACTACAGATTATAAAGAAATTATATTATTCGTAAGTTGAAATTATAATGCAATATTTATACATATCTTTATTTTAATTAACAATATTATATTATTTATTAAAAAAATACATAAATTATAAATTATTAATGTATTCCACTAATGGCACTTGTCGACTTTTCAAATGTTTTTAGTAACATCTCAAAAAAAAAAGAAGCAAAGAAAAATAAAAAAATGTATACAATTTGAATTTCAAAGAGGTTTTTTTTTTACAACTGAGCCTTTTGAGGAAGTATTTATGCCACGACTCAATCCCTATTTTTTAGGGCCTGAATTAATTTGTTTTCAATTTTAATAGAAGTATATAAATAGATACTTGATTAATCTTGAAATATGTAAACGATGGTTGTGGCTAAAAAAAAAGAGAATTTTTGTTGCATCCGAATAACCCGTATTCTTACACAAAAATCCTATACTTTTCTGTTGGCTTTATCTGAAAGGTTATTACCACTTCATAATGGAGCTATGGAAGTGGAATATCGCCATTTTGTTAAATAAGTTTCTTCACACACATATATAGTATATCACAATTATTCAACAGATTGTCTTTCAATTCATTAAAATATTGCACACCTATCAAGGAATGCATAAAGTAAACTAGATTGTCTCTATACATTAAAGCATTCTAGATCTATTGAACAATGTCTGAAAGGTTAATAAATTTTGGAGGAAAAAGCAATTGTTACTTAAAATTGAACACATTTTCTGATCAATGTATATAAGTGTAATTTTTCAGGGCAAACCTATATTTGAAAGTATGTTCTTCCTGCAAACATTATTTATTTGATTACCACTGTAAGCATTCATATACGCGTATTGTCGACATTTTCTATCGTATATCTGCGCCCGTTGCCGTCTGATGGCATCTTGGGCAGGCAGGCACACGACACGACACAACTTTTAAGATGAACACGTATCTTAACGTGTCGCATTACAATTTCTAATGTAGACATGTGTGGCTTGGCCTGGCCTGGCTTGGCTTGGCTTGGCCAAAAAGCATGACAAAGCCGCAGCTAAAAGATTGGTTTATGGCAGTGTTTAGTTCGAAAGCTATGGGTCCAGACCAGGGCACATCGCATATAATGCTCGTACTCGTAAATTCGTTTTCTGCACCACTCCTGCTCGCCGTCATATCAATGCCACATAATTACGCTTATTATCAGTCATTCAACACCTACTCAAAATGTGTTCATAATAAACGCGACCAACCCAAAGGAAAAGGGGAAACGAGGAGTGGAATGGAGGCATCAAGCAACGAACTCACGAGCGAGCCACTGGACGGGCCTTGCGAGCGACTCTTCGAGTTGGGGGCAAGTTTTTCAAGTGCCTCGCCTTCTTCTTCTTCTTCTGGCAGACGACAGACTCCCATAAATTTTGCACAGCCTCGGTGGCTGTTTGAGTTTAACTTGACGGGCAGGCCAGCCATGGAAAAAGCCGTTGCTCTTGTGGATGCGACTGCCAGTAGCCTGCCAAATTGCTATGGCAAATTTATGAAAATTTGCTGCGCTTAACGGCAAGTGGCGCGTCAAAAACAGCTATTCGAAAAGGCGCAACAGCAACGGGGCAGGTTCAAAAGGTCTTTGGAAAAATCGTTTGATAGCTCGCTTCTACAACTAGTTGAGATGATCATTGGGTGCAAAGCTGATAGATGTTGTTGCTTTAAAGGTCTACCACATATGCCAGTTGGAAAGGTTATCTCTGGATCGTGATTGCACATAACGAAGGGTGACGTACAAGGGTGTTGGGTTTAAGAAGCCCTTTCCCTGTTCAGAAGAAAAGGTGAAATTTGAATTTTGTTGAAAAGTATTTATTAATTCATCAACATTGATTTGTCTCCTTCACTTATGCTAGCGCTTCTTCCAATCCCCGAAGCACTTTTGAAATGCATTTCTCGCTCGTTCTCAGCTCGTTCTTCGATTTTGGTTTTATTTCAGCAATTGTGTCAAAACGCTTTCCTATCGTAGATCTTTTGAGTTTTGGGACGCAGGGAGTGCCACGGCATAAGTGCATTATTTCTGGGGGGATTGCTTTGAAGGGGACACGATGGATATTGATGAATAAATAAATAAAATTCACCTTTTCTTTTTCCTCGTATTTTCGCAACGATCCTACGTTCAATGAAGTAAACATTGCAGGGACTCAGAACTTTCTGAAAGATTCAAAAAAAGTCCCACCCTTTATAATGTAAAGGTCTAGTATATATCGGTGAAAAAATCGTTTCCTGCATCATCATAAATATAAATAACAATATCGCATAACATTCTGCCGCTTTAAATGAATATTTATTAAAAAGTTTCTTTGACATTTCCTTCCTATCCTATTTCGATTTCTTGACCACTTCACCTCGTACTTCAAAGCAAATAGTTGTCGGCCGCTTCCTGTTATATTTATCAATGGCTTCAAATTTAGCAACAATAGCATATAATCCAGCTAACGAAGGGCCAGCGACACGGATATCGAATGAAACATTCACATCGTATTCTTCGAGAATAAGCAATGTCTACAATAGAAGCTAAACTAATTAAAATCTTATTGAAAACATTTTAGGACCCGCCACTTACGCCTGGTGTATTAATGCACTTGCTTTTCACATCGTTAATAATATGTTTGGTCCAGAAATCGTACCAATGCTCATCAGGACCATACATTCTAGAACAAAAATCGCCAATGTTATAGCTGAAGAATGTTGGTTCCCAATTTCCTCGTTTATATTGAAATGTTTGTACTGATAACTGTAGGAGATAAAAAACACTGTCATTTTGAATAGAATTCTTCTTTTTTTTCATTAAAAATACCGCAATGCGATCTGTTGGTTCGACATCCCATATTGATGTAAAGTTGCCAGTAACGTGCACGAAATCACCATTAAAATTCAAAGAAACGTTGCTTATATCAAATAGACCATGGATATTCAGCGAATTCTCCGGAGGCTCTCGGCAATCAACAAATATTTCCTCATATTCGAGCAGATAATCATACTTGACTGCGCGAACTTGCTCTCCGAGAGCTATGAGCAGTAGAAGATTGGAAATTAAGCTACGCTGACTATACATTCTATTATATATTTATATCTGCACCTACAGTTATTGTATGAAGCCTTTTATAGTCATTTTTTACAGTTATGAGACATTTATGTACTGTTATGAAACATTTAATTTAGGTCTTTTTCGAGTACAACCACCACTTATTGATGCAATCTAGATTAACAAAAACACATCATTCTCCGGTAATTAGTTATGGACTGCCGACCATTTACCCACAAATAACAAAAGCAGAAATGTTGTAAAAAATTTAGTAACAAACAAGAAAGGAATACCCAAAGGGTACAAGGGTATATTAGTTTTGTGCGAGTGCACATGGAACACACAGAAGGAGGCTTGGTAGACCCCACAAAGTATATATATTCTTGATCAGCATGACAAGCCGAGTCGATATAGCCATGTCCGTCTGTCCGTCTGTCTGTCCGTCTGTCTGTCTGTATGAACGCAAGGATCTTCGAAAGTATAAGAGCTAGAATAACCAAACTTGGTATACAGAATCTCCTGAGACCGAGAAAGGACGAGTTTGTTCATTTTTTCTGATCCACCCCCCCACTCCCCCCTATTACCGATTTTCTATAACTTGGAATTCTTGGAATTTTGAACTAAAATTATTATTATTATATATATATATATATATATATATATATATATATATATATATATATATATATATATATATATATATATATATATTATAAAAATAGCTTAAGTAGACTAATCGAATCACATTTACTTTTATCTAAAAATCAAAATATTTAGATTTTATATAGAGTAACATAACAAATATTATATAGTACATTCAAACATACGTACATACAACAATTGTTGGTTCCCAAGTTCCTCGTTTATATTGAAATGTTTGTACTAATAACTGTAGGAGATAAAAAGGATTTATATTTATTTTTTTTATGGAATTCCTCTTTTTATACCCTGTACCCGTAGGGTAAACAGGGTATATTAGGTTTGTGCAAAGTATGTAACATACAGAAGGAAGCATCTCCGACCCCATAAAGTATATATATTCTTGATCAGCATGACGAAAGAAATCGATCTAGACATGTCCGTCCGTCTGTCCGTCTGTCCGTCCGTCTGTCCGTCCGTCTGGATGAACGCGAGGATCTCAGAAACTATAAAAGCTAGAATAACCAAAGTTGGCATCCAGATTCTCCTAGGTCCGAGTAAGGACGAGTTTATTTTTTTTTTTTTAATTTTCCCCCCCTTCCCCCGCTACAGAATTTCGTCAATAGCGTCCACATTTCAAATGCTACCTAAACCAAACTTTGCACACATAATTTATATATAATTGTCTACTGTTGTTCAAAATTTTATTCGGTCAATTCTAAGAAAAGTTATTAGCGAAACAAATTCTCGCCAGTACAACCCCCACAAACTGCAGCAACAAGTTCGCTCTTCTTCTTCTTTTTGTTGCTGCTATGGGCGCATATAACTCAGTGACGGAAGTTTACCTGGGTACAGGGTATTACACTGTCGGGCTTGCTCGACTGTAGCGTTCTCTCTTGTTTTTCTTCGAAAGTACCGCAATGCGATCTGTTGGCTTAACATCGCATATAGGTGTAAGGTTGCCTGATATGTTCACCATATTCGCTAAATTCAAATAAGCCATGGAGATTCTGCGAATTCCCCGGGGGCTCTCGGCAATCAGAAATTATTCCCTCATAATCGAGCAGAAAATCGTACTTGACTTTTCGAGTACAACCACCACTTATTGATGCAATCTAGATTGACAAAAACACAATCTGTCTCATTAGTTGTTAGCAGCACCTCTAATTAATTATTGACGGTACAATAGTGATGTAAATCTGAAATGAACATCGATGTTTTACATCGGAAACGAAAATTGCCATGACAAACATCGATGCAGCGATGCATCGAAAAACTTAACATCGATACATCGATTTTTCATAAAAATTTGTAATATAAAGCAAGAGATGAAAGCAAACGACGAGCGGGATCAACCCTCCTGTGCACGAAACTATTATGCCCTTTGGTTACGGGGTATAAAAATAAGCTAGAAGCGTATATTTGATTTAATTTTACAATTTTTCATTAAAAAATATGTGTTATATTAATAAGTCTAATGCAAGTACATATGCATAGGAAGTCGTGTGTCAATTTGAAGATGAAACTAAAGGGAAGCCTTTTCCATTACTTATGGGTGAAAAATTGGAAAGGTCTCGTATTTTCGCAATGATTTAACGAAGACCTTCTCAATGAAGTTAACATTGAAAGGACTCAGAACCTCTTGGAACAGTTTTGTGTAAAGGCCTAGTATATATCCGTGTAAAAGGCATTTCCTGCAGTATAATTTCCGAACTCCATCGCATAATGAATATTTATTAAAAGAGATTCTTCGACATTTTCCATACAACTATTTGTATTTCTTGACCATTTCACCTCGTACTTCAAAGCAAATAGTTGTTGGCCGCTTCCTGTTAGATTTATCAAAGGCCTCTAATTTTACAACAATAGATAATAAGCCACTTAACGAAGGGCCAGCGAGACCGACATCGAATACCGCATTCACATCGTATTCTTCGAGAATAAGCAATGTCTACAATAGAAGCTAAACTAATTAAAATCTTATTGAAAACATTTTAGGACCCACCACTTACGCCTGGTGTATTAATGCATTTGCTTTTCACATCGTTAATAATATGTTTGCTCCAGATATCGTACCAATACTCATCAGGACCATACATTCTAGAACAAAAATCGCCAATGCTATAGCTGAAGAATGTTGGTTCCCAATTTCCTCGTTTAAATTGAAATGTTTTTACTGATACCTGTTAGAGATAAAAAAGGATTAATATTTTTAAAAGGAAACTCTTATTATTTCCTTTAAAAATACCACAATGCGATCTGTTGGTTCGACATCCCATATTGATGTAAAGTTGCCAGAAACATGGACTGAATCACCATCAAAACTTATAGAAAGTTCGCTTAAATCAACCAGGCTATGGATATTCTGCGAATTCTCCGGAGGCTCTCGGCAATCAGAAAATATTTCGTCATAATCCAGCAGGAAATCGTACTTGACTGCGCGAACTTGCCCTTCGAGAGCTATGATTAGGAGAAGATAGGAAATTAAGCTGCGCTGACTATACATTCCAATATATATTTATAACTGCACCTACAGTTATTTTTTGAAGCCTTTTATAGCCATTTTTTACAGTTATGAAACATTTAATTTAGGGTTTTTCGAGTACAACCACCACTTATTGATGCAATCTAGATTGACAAAAACATCTATCTCATTAGTTGTCAGCATCACCTATAATTAATTATTGACTGTACAACCATTTACCCACAAAAAGCAAAAAGCAGAAAAGTTATAAAAATTTGAGTAACAGAAAAATAAATAAATAAATCTGTCCGTCTCTCCGTCCGTCCGTCCGTATGGGAAACTGGATCTCAGAGACTATAAGAGATAGAGACACCACAGATGCTTTATGTGTGTATTTTTATACTCTGTACATGAAATGTACAAGAGTATATTAGGTTTGCGGGAGCTGAAAAATGTAACAGGCAGAAGGAGGCGTGGCAGACCCCACAAAGTATATATATTCTTGATCAGCATGACGAGACGAGTCGATCTAGCCCTGTCTGTCTGTCTGTCCGTCTGTCCGTCTGTCCGTCCGTATGAACACCTGGATCTCAGAGACTATAAGAGATAGAGACACCAAATTTTGCACGAAGATGCGTTATGTGTGTATTCTATACGAGTTTGTTTTATTTTTTTGATTTTCCCCCCCACTTCCCCCCTATGGGGGTTTTCCCGATTTTCCATTCGTATAATCGCCTATATCTCGGAGACCATAAGACCTAGGAACACCAAATTTTAGTCCCAGATGCCTTATGTGAATACGCAGAAAATGTATATTTTGGAATTCCCCTCCCTCCCCCCTCTACCCCGCAAATCGTAACTCCCGTAATTCTTGGAATTTCGAACTAAAATTTTGGAAATACCCCCAGTTAGTTATTATGTGTCCGTATGCCAAATTTCATTATGATAGACCGATTTAACAAGAAGTTATAGCCATAAATATATTTGCTGATGCAGCGCTGCTGCAGCGCTGCTCAAGCGCTGCCCGCGGCTGTTGTTGATGTTGCTGTTTGGTTGACTGCGAAAATGCTTACACAGACACGAATAGATGCGCATAGGCATACATACACTCACACAGACGCAATTGCTATGTAAATGTGCAATTGTACACCCTTTACGTGAGTTCGAATACCGAGAAAGGTAAAATCGATCATTGAATTTTTTTTTATTTTCTTAATTTTTGTATTTTCTATAATTATTGTAAACATATGTACAGAGTATTTCAAAGTCGGGACACCCGACTTTAGCTTTTTTACTTGTTTTTATTATTATTTTCCCCTACTCCCTCCAATGAGGTATTTTCGGTAACTCCGTTTGTATAATCATTCATATCTTGAAGATTATAAGACCTAGAGACACCAATACTAAAATATCCCAGACCAGTTATCGATTTTTGGAGAACAATATTATAAATAGATTGTCTCTCTATACATTAAATAATCTAGATCTATTAAGTAATGATTGAAATGTTTAAGATATTGATTTTCAAAGATCGTAACTTCAGTGGTATCTTTGTGTTAGGTAGTAGGTAAGTAATGCTACTTAAGAAGAAACCATATTAATTGTCATTTCAAATAATTTAATAATATCTTAACATAAAAGGTGGACGTTCTTGTTTTAGAGATCTATTACATGTTTATAGGAAAGGTCATCTCTAGATCGTGCTGGCACATAACGAAAGGTGTCGTATGTTGGGTTTGTAGATGAAACTTAAGAGAAGCGTTTTCCATTACTTATAGATAGAAAATTGCAATAGATAGGCAGGTAGTCGTGATTGGAAAGGACTCGAATTTTCGCAATGATCATACGTTTAAGGAAGACATTCTCAATGAAGATGACGTTGAATGGACTCAGAACATCTTGGAACAGTTTCGGGGAAAGCCCTACTTTTCATCATGTAAAGGTGTAGCATATCGCAGTATAAAATACGTCTCCTCCAACATCAATTCTGAATAAGAACCTTTGGTTATAAATAACAATATCGCATAACAAGTCGCTGTAAGTGAATATTTATTAAAATATTTCGATATGTCCGCTCGAACTATTTGTATTTCTTGACCATTTCACCTCGTACTTCAAAGCAAATAGTTGTCGGCCGTTTCCTATTAGATTTGTCAAAGGCTTCATATTTTATAACAATAGAAAATATTCCACTTAATGAAGGTCCAAGGCTGGGGACATTGAATGTAGCATTCAGATCGTATTGTTCGAAAATATGTTTTGTCTACAATAGAAGCTAAACTAATTAAAATCTTACTGAAAACATTTTAGGACCCACCACTTACGCCTGGTGTATTAATGCATTTGCTTTTCACATCGTTAATAATATGTTTGGTCCAGAAATCGTACCAATGCTCACCAGGACTATACATTTTAGGACAAAAATCTTCAATGTTATAGTTAAAAAACGTTGGTTCCCAATTTCCTCGTTTATATTGAAATGTTTGTACTGATAACTGTAGGAGATAAAAAGGATTGTCAGTTTTAATTGAGTTCTTCTTTTTTCTATCTTTAAAAATACCGCAATGCGATCTGTTGGGTCGACATTCCACACAGTTGTTAAGTTGCCAGATAAGTTCACCAAATCTCCATTAAAACGCATGGAAAATTCGCTTAAATCAAATAGGCCATAGATATTCTGCGAATTCTCCGGAGGCTCTCGGCAATCAAAAAATACTTCCTCATATTCGAGCAGAAAATCGTACTTGACTGCGCGAACTTGCGCTCCGAGAGCTATGATTAGGAGAAGATTGGAAATTAAGCTACGCTGACTATACATTCCAATATACATTTATAACTGCACCTACAGTTATTTTATAAAGCCTTTTATAGCCATTTTTTACGGTTGTAAAATATTTAATTTAGGTCTTTCTCGAGTACAACTACCACTTATTGATGAAATCTAGATTAACAAAAACACTCTGTCTCATTAGTTGTCAGCAGCACCTGTAATTTATTATTGAATGTACAGCCATTTACCCACACATAGCAAAAAGCATAAAAGTTGTAAAAATGTCAGTAAAAACAAATGAACAGCAAATTATTAATTGAATCTTAATTGCTGAATAGCAGTTACTGACTGTAAAAGTACGATAGAAAGAAAGACACAATTCACTTTTAATGTAAAACATATGAACACTCTTATATGTTGTGAGAGAGGGAAAGAGACGGTGAATATTTGTTTTGCTTATTTTATGGATATACTTGTAGTTAAGCAAATTAATTGACTTTTGTGCGTGTATTAATGGCAACATACGAGTATGCGTGTTCTTGCGCCCGCAACATTTATTTATTTACTTATGTATATATGTATATAGTACTTATGTATATATTGGTGTAACGAATTTAAGTGCACCATTATTGAATAGAATTTAGCAAAAATTTGTATTATCAACATGTAAGAGCATAGCAGAATAATTTGGTTAACTTGTGTGCCATTTCAAGAAGATAACATCGGATTAAACTTCCGTCGCATGCGATTGCCTGGCAATATGTTGCGGTTGACTTAGCAACATTGTTGGTAGTATGCATTTAATTTGTTGCAGGAAGAAAACGAAGAAGAAGCAAATGCCAAGAGGCACGACATTAGGAAAATTATGCGATATTATTTACGCAACATGTTTCTTATCAAATTTTGATGAAATGGGTTAGCAGGCAGATAGTAAATATAATTCATTCATTGGCGTCACAATTTGTTGTTGTCATGACAAATTTTCGAGAATAATTAAACAATTGGCAGCATTATTTGTTTGTGTTGCGCTGCTATCGAGCTCTTATTTGAGAATCTTTGAAAATTCTCAATCAGTTTTATGATTACGATGGTTCGTCAGAAGTGCACATACAAGTATATTAAAAAGAGGGCCAAGTTTTTCACGCAACAAATGAATTATTTACGAATCGTAAATATATAGTACATATACTCGTATTTACATATGTACATAACACAATATAATGAATTTAATAAGGGAAAATTTTAAGCCTACTTTATATAGGCAAACGTTTATGTTTCAACTGCTTAACAACTGTAGTTCTTATGAGATACAGAAAACAAAATCTATAACTAAAAGAACACTAGGGAGGCATCTCAGTTTAAATCTAAATAAAGAACCACAAAATATAATATTTATTACATTTAAAGTCTAATAAGAATTGGTTAAAACTATTGTTAATGAAAAATGAAAAATTTGCTAATAACTTAAGGCATATGCCCGAAATCTTTGTATCTTAATTAGTTGTCAGTATCGCTGAACTATCGCAATACTTTTTGCGATAGAAATTAATGTCTTCTCTCTTGACTCACTTACGAGTATCATTTCTAACCCAAAGGCATGTAATCGATTAATGCAGGACATCAAAATGCAAAGAGCTTGCACGTACACAAAAAAATGCCCAAAGGCTTAACAGAACATCTATTTATAAATCGAGTCGTACATTACACACATCTAACCATAAACGGACGTGCCAGCAACAACTGCAATATCAATTTAAAAGCAAATAGCAGGCAGGCCGCAGGTAGGCAGGCTGGACGTCCGCATCCACATTCACTTTATAAGGCAACTGGCAAATGCCCCAAAATGGATCTGGCCATCGTCGCTGAGAGAGCTTGGCTTTAGAAGCTGCCTGCTGCCTGTGCTGCCTCCGCTGCTTCTGATGTTGCAACACCATGACAAATGCAACTCAAGTGACACATTGTGCGGCAACAAAAGCAAAACAGCATGCTGCACATGCAACTAATGGGCAACAGGAAGGAGGAAGGAAGGAGGAAACGACGGACGGCCGACAGAGAGGGGCTTTCAATGCATTCCAACTGCTATTTCATATTTATGCAAGCAAATGTAGTTGCCTGCCACGGAAATGTAACTGCGTGGGCGCTCTTGCAACACAGGTGAATGCCACCAGTCAGGCAGGCAGTCAGGCAGCTATTAGAGAGCTGCAGACTGCTTTCAAAGGTCAAAGACATTGGCGAGTAGGAAAAAATCTGTGCATTCGAAATAAAAGATGTACTTATATACTCGTCCATATATACTGTACTATATGCTATATGCATACTGCGTAATAAAGACGCAAATTCAATTTGCAGAAAGAAAAGCTGGCGCCCAGCTGAAGACGTCACTATTTGACAAGCGAGACACCTGCCACGAAGCGCCGGTGAGCTGGGGGTAGAAGGCAGCTGCAACTAACTGCAGATACATATTGAATAGAGATACAGTTGCAACTGCACTGAAATAAAATCAAGAAGATGTGCACGAAATCGAATTATGTCTGAGCAGAAAAGTGACTTAGATAGCAAACAAATGCCGGAGAGTAACAGGAAGTAAGAAAGGCATTTATGTACACTCAAAAACAAGTGGCATAGTATAAATGAATAGTTTCATATTCCATTTAATGTAACTAAAAACATATTCAATTACTGATTTAAACATGAATAATGTTCAAAACAAAGTGTAAATTTTTGTCATTTAAGGGTCTTATGCACTATTTAATGATGGGATCATATATAATTTTAATATGCGTTCACTTCAAAAACAAATATTTAAACTAACTATATTCCATAGTAAATTTTCATATTTGTTTAAACTTTAATCTCTTAGTCAACTTAAATCTACTAGAAATATGTTAAATTTTAATATTTTTTATAGTTAAATCGACATTTTTCAAATGTAAAAAAGAGACAAACATTGGGTAGCATTCTGAAGTCAGTTTTCAGTGGTTTTGTGGTATAAATACAAAGTGTATGTGTCAAGTAAGTGTATTCAATCAGCTTTTCTTCACTTCTAATATGAATATTTGATCTAAACTATATAAACTATATAAAAAGCATAAAAAACATCAAGATAATTAATTGATAATAACAAAATAATTTGAAAATTACTTTCTCCTAGAATGGTTCATATACACAATATATATATACAAGTATATGTAAAATGTAAATGCATTATGGAAATGGAAATATCATAATTTAAAAAAGTAAAATACCGTAGAGTAGGAAGAAAGTGAGAAAAATATTTTATAATTATAAAAAATCATCACTTGTGATTTAATATCGGTCACACTTTAAATTTAATATTTTAATATGAAACTCGAAATTGAAATTATATTTACTAAAACACTCTATTTAAATTTATGAATTTATTTAAATTTGGAAAGGTAGTGAAAGTTGTTCTCAGTGTTTAAAGATGATATATAAAGGTATCCTATGGCTGTAGTCAACAATTGAGTTTACAGCAAAGCCGAACAAACTTTGGCAGACAATTGTGCCTTTGAGCCCCGCCGTGGCAAACATCAACAACAAAGAACAGGAGCGCAGCTGTTGCATACATATGAATACTCGCATCTGTACCTATATATGTAGGTACATATATGTAGTATGAATTCGTATATAAATGTAAGATGCAAATAAAATAATATAAAAAGTAATTTGAAAATTTTACGCAAAGCACGAGGCGAACTTCCATGGGATTGTCTGTTTTGTCTGAGTCTGTGTGAAATGGCAAAGAAAAATTGTAGCAGACACTTGATGAAAAGCCAAGGAGTCGGCTAAGAAGCATAGGAAGAGAGTGTTGGGGGATGGGGGAGGAGGGGGCGACACACACGTATTTAATTTGCAGTAGCTGCTAAAGTTAAAAGCAAATCCAACGACGGCGATGACGATGACGATGACTCCCACTCCGCCTACGCAACTTCATTTGACGCAGACAGACAGACAACAAGTTTCTGTTTCAGTTTCCGTCTCCCTGTCTGTTGTTTTTATGGCCACGGAACCCACCCATGGTGTGTTTTATTCATTTAATACAATTGTTGCCTTTTTACTTGCCTTATTAATGGCCAGCAACGAAGCTACAAATGTATCTTTTCTGCGCATATGAGTTTTGTTCGTTTGTCTGTGCACCTAAAACAGAAGTTTACGAGTCTGAGCAGCAGAAGGAGACTCATTAAAAGTTACAGCTGCCATTTTATTCGGTTTTTTTTTTTTTCAATTTCAAGTTTATGAGTAATTACTGAAGTTAAATGAAAACGCAGCTTAAGTCATAATAAAATTAACTTTAATTTTATTGGCCAGCTAATCAAGAAGCGCTCGTCGTCAGCTACCTAGCTACGCATTTTATAGTTGCCCACAAAAGTGTGCACACAATGGGATATCGCATAGATTTTGTTGCCCGCAAGTCAATTCAGCGAGCATCAATTACACACTTTAGTTTTATATGTATTTCTATAACATTTATTTAATTTAAGCCAACAACATCATTCAAGCGACAATTTAATTTCCACCTAAGTCTGTTCTTTATTTCCATTTGAGCCAAACAACACATCGAGTTTGAAAAATCTGGTTTCTGATTTCAAAATATTTTCTTTTCAAAAGCATCTATTAACAAAATTTGAAGCCAATCCGATGTAGCAGTACAAATGAAGCTCCTACTTTTGGCAACAAAATTAATATATATAATAATACAAGTATAATTAATATATATAATAATATAATTAATATATATAATAATATAATTAATATATATAATAATATAATTAATATATATAATAATATAATTAATATATATAATAATATAATTAATATATATAATTTAACGGCCATTGCATTTATAAGCCATTATAATTCCCAACTAGCTAGGGTCCTTTTTTGAATTGAAGTCCACAATCTGTTCTGCATTGTATTTGAAAATTCTGCCTTCTGGTATCAAATCTGTGATTCCGAAATCATCCAATCTAATGTAGCTTCTTTAGTAGGCTCAAAACAAAATTTGACTTCCTGGTGCCTTATAATTCCCAACTAGCTTCATTCATTATTTGAATTGTAGTCAAAAACGTTCTACAAGTATATGAAAATGCCTTATTCTGGTTTCAAATCGGTGATATCGAAAACATCTATCGCTCCGACTTTTGGCCACAAAATAGGCACAAAACCAAATTAGAATTCCAGGTACCTTATAATGCGCAACTATCCATGTTCTTTATTGGAATTGAAGTCGAAAAAGTTGGAACAATAATTCGGACACAATTTATTTGGAAATTCAAACTTAAGATTTCGAGTTGAAGAGTCCAATAAATATTTTACGTCTAAAATCTTTTCTTTAACCCATTGTTTACAGTCCAACGATATGCAAATTTATGAGCGCAAGCGTGCTCGCACTCGTGCTCGCTTGTCTTTCATTTCTCATTCCGTGCGATCAAATCATAAAAGTGCAGTAAAAGAATTTATTGCAGCACTCGACGTTGTCAGCAAGACTTAAAAACGGGGCTTGGTTCGGGACAGGTATATTCATTTATCAACATTGGCGGTCATGTAAAAATTGTTTCTTTATGCCAGCATTTTAAATAAATTGTTGCGCTGTGTAAATGCAAAAGGTATCTCTCAGATACTGCATGCAACTCAAATCACGCCCGGCACGTTGCCCGTAAAAGTCTTGACGGCCTATAAATTTTGTGGAGTGTGTGGGCGCCCGCCAAAGCCGCTATAAAACACGGGCGATGCGAACTCTATAATGTGAACTGAAATATTTAAGTATTGATTTTAATGTTTTGCTCGTTTCTATATCTTTGCAGACAAATAGCGCCTGCCTATGCGAAGGTCAATGGCGGCACAGCCATTCCCCTGCCGGCCACGGTCATGGTGCAGCGGCGTTGTCCGCCGGATAAGGTGCGACCACTGCCACCGACGCCGAACCATGCTCCAAGTAAGTCGAAGAATTATTATTATTATTATTATTAAAAAATATTTTAAAAGCAACCCCTGAAATCAGTGCAGAGTCGCAGAGTCCCAGCACATCATTACGCGCCATTGTTTGGGCACTGCAAACAAATTTTGGGCCAAAAGCCTTTCAGCGTATCAAACAGCTACCCCCAAGGGACGGTACTTAGTCAAACAGCCAAGGGACTCAGCTGGGTTAGAGCAGCATGTGCGTATAAGCATGTATTGAGTATGTGGGTTTGTTTTTTTGGACCGAGATTTAGTAGCAAAAAAATTAGAGTGGGGGGGGGGGGGACTTAGTGGCCCCCTGTTGGGCGCGTTTTTAAAAGACTGGTACAAATGCATGAAAGCACACATTTGCTGCTTGAAAGTGAAAATAAATGCGACTCTTGCTGGGTTTTTAAAGCGGGCTCAGCTAAGGGTTTCTGGCTACTACAAAATATTGGTAGTTAGTAAAATAAGTGAAGCTTCTTTGAGTTATTACAGCAGGGAGCTTAAAAGCCTTATAACTCATCATATACATGAAGTGTCGATTGGGGCAACCAATTAATTAAGTTCACTATCCGCACAGACTCTAGCGCTGATTTATAGACAGTTGTTTCCACAGTGACAGCCCCATGACAGTCTCAAGTGGGCGCCAGCAAAAGAAAATTAATTAACAATAAAGAGCCATATGCGTACGAGTGGGTTGACAGTTCCTTAACTTTTTTGTCAATTCCTACTTGCAGCGATTCCCGGTCTGGGCAAAAGCGGCAGTGATTTCAACTCCAGCCGTCCGAATAGTCCGCCCACCAGCAATCACACCATTCAGAGTCTGAAGAGTGGCAATAATAACAGGTAAGTTGCACACATTTGCACTTCTTTTTAACGTCATTAAGATTCTCTGCTCTTCACCTCCCTACAGCTTGCGTCCACCCACCGTTAAGAGCAATCACCAAAGCGGCATACCCTCGCCCAGCAGTCTCACTGCACCGCACCATGCCATCCCTCAACAGGCTCCACAGAAACACTCGATGCTGGACAAGCTCAAGCTCTTTAATAAGGAGAAGCAACAGAATGCAGCGAATGCGGCGGCAGCGGTCAACAAAACTCAAATACAATCGAAAAGAACTTCCTCCTCGTCGGGTTTCAGTTCGGCGCGCTCCGAACGTTCAGACTCCAGCCTCAGTCTAAACGATGGCAACAACTCACAGATCAAGCCGCCCAGCATTAGTGTGAGTGTCAATAAGGCGCTGCAGAAGCACAATACCAAGCAGTCGAAGCTGCTGGCCGCCCAACAAAAGAAGGAACAGTCCAAGGCCAGCAAGCTGGACAAGAAAGAGAAGAGTCCGGCGCGTTCCCTGCACAAGGAAGAGCTTCAACAGTCGGGGAATGAGTCTCGCAGCTCCACAATGGGTCGCACAGCCAAAAATTCACTGCCTCGAGGCATTGCTGCCGAAAAGAACACTGCCAAAACATCGTCCAAATCATCTTTGCACTCCAAGTCCGATTCAAAGAGCTCCCTGAATGTGCCCAGCAACCAGATCAAGGCCGTGCAGAGTCCCAGCGGCACGGGCCTACCCAAACCCATAGCGGCTATCAAAGGCACCAGTAAACTGCCACAGCCGGGTGACAGCAACAAAAGCTTGCGCCTAAGCGGCTCCACCTCTCAGCACGAGCTAATGCTGCTGAAGCGCGAGCCCAGCGACATATCAAGTCAGGGGACGCAAACCAATAACATATCCGCGGAACAATCGACTGTCCCAACCTCAACCAGCAACAATACCTCTCCACATATCCTGAAAGCGATGCCGCCACCATCGCCTCCTTACTACGCCAACAGCTTACCTCCAACCTTGTCGCACATATCACATGCTGGCGGTTATTTATCGGAGCCCAGCACTCCCCAACACAGCACCTATGGCGGCAGCCGCCTACCCCCTCCAAAGTCTGCGCTAAGCGCTCCGCGAAAGCTCGAATACAATGCGGGTCCGCATATTTTGGCCTCGCCAGGTGCTCGTTCGCCACTCCAGCGGACCCCCAACTCGGCACCCAATACGCCCACCGCTTCGCCCAGCAAATTCCATACGATACCCTCGAAAATCGTGGGCACCATTTACGAGTCCAAAGAGGAGCAATTGCCCCCATCTGCGGGGGACGAAGGTCGTTTGGGCGTCTTGCCCATGCGTCCGCTCCTGCGCGGCTACAATTCGCACGTGACATTGCCCACGCGCGGAGCACGCGGTGGCGCCCAACAGCATCACCAGCCCTACATGGCTGACTTCTGCGAAACCGAGTTGGGTCAGGGCTATTGCAGCGATGGCGATGCCCTGCGCGTGGGAAACTCCGCAAACGCCGGTCGCTATCACGACATCGACAACGGCTATCTGTCCGAAGGCAGCAGCGGATTGGGAACGAACCATTCCCATGGCAAACACTTTCTCAGCATGATGCGCGCGCGCACGCAGCTCCCCACAACCATTGAGGAACGGTAAGTACCACAAATGCACCTTTTACTGTTCTGTTCGAATTTAACCCATGAGTCACCCAACATTTTGAAGGCGGTTGGCTGTTGGCGGTCGGGGCACAGTGGCATAACTTCATTACTGAGGTGATCAGTTTTTGAGTTACATATATGTAAATTGTCTTTTCTTTCAAGACAATAGACAGAAATGCTGAATGTCTGCTTGAATGCCTTTCAGTTTTCAAATGCAATTTGAAATTTTTTTATCTACAAAATAATCGCTCATTCAATCTGAATTTGTAGGCAGTTTAGAATTTAAAGAACCCTTCGTTAGGACCATTATAAATTTGCTCCCTTCGCCATTTTAACGAAAAAATAAAATAAAATATTTTTAGAAAGAATTTCCATTTCGAAATATTTGAAACTGACTCCATCGATGTAATCAGTGCTACGAACAAATGTCCTGTTAATAAATGCCTTGAATCGGTTATTTTACCATAAGCATACCTTTGAAAGAGCTCAAGGACTCAACGGACTTTGGTTGAAATTATGGCCAGCTGGCAATATGTCCAGTTGTTAAAAATCACGAAATACAGCATTAGAATTTGCTTATTTAATTAAAAGTGACATGACTATCAAAGAATTGGTTGAAGATAAACTCATCGATGGCGAATTATTACATGAAATTGTTGTGCATGCAGCAAACAATTGAAAATAAATTAATCCTACTATTAAAATTCTAGCAGCTTCGAATCATAGTTTTTGATCCAGTTATCGAAAGATTTTCAAGTCTTAATACCTATACCTTATAAGACCGAAGTTTTAAAAGCCACTTAAAAACTTGTGCCTTTTTAATAAGTTTAATCTGTTAATATTGAACATTTGAAGTAATTTTTGATCATTTTAAAAAATATTATAAACAGCGCAAATGTTAACAGTTTAGCTTTTTTTACCTTTGTTGAAATCTAGGAAGGAATGGTTTATATCTATGTTTTCTAGGAACGTTTAATATTATTTTATAATCACGCTTTAAAAATTATTCAAATTAATAAAGAAAAACAAAGAAAAACATTAGAAAATGTAGAAAAGAGTGTTGCTTTTGGAAAAAGTCACCTAAAATAGAATCTATATATAAAGCTGTATGTCATCATTTGGTTTCCTTCCCAAGACTTCAGGTCATGCTGTTAAAATATTAATCGCTAATCAGTATTCTGAACTTAGAAAAAAATTACCATTAATTTCCTAAACAAACACAAATTTTTCGGGAAAGCAAAATCCCTCTAGACAGTAATGTTATTATTTCATTTACAATTAATTTCTGAGATATGAAAAAAAACAGAAATTTTTTTAAAAATATAATAAAGTCGAGGAAAGAAAAAGTCGGAAGTAAAACATTCTGTTTATTTGTATAATGCCATTGCAGATTTTATTACTCAATAAATTGGTTTGATTACATATAGAATATACAATAAGCTCGATCAAAACGTTGTTCGTTAAAAGGGAACGATTTCATTTGTTCCTCTATTTCTATATTTGTATGAAGTAAAGTGTTTATTTCGATAGTTGTTCAAATATTATCAAATATTATTATTAAATAATAGTTCTATGAATGAAAAGCGAAAACAATGAATCTTGTATTGGTTTATGTGACTATAAAGTAGCTTATTGAAACAAAAGAACTGATCTGTTTGAGATACTATGGGGGAGAGACTGCGACCGGACAGTAGTTTTTCATCATCTCTGTTTTCCCTCAATCGGTCCACTGTGCGCATTTGCTGTGCTTTGCAGCACAGGCTCATACATACATACATACATGTATGTACTCGTACTACATATTGCCAATTTGTCATTTGTTTATCTTTTGTTTTGTGTATCGCTGCGTTTCCCAGAACTTTGCCGCCTTTGCGTTTGCCATGTGGCGTGCGTGCGCGATCATAAAACGGCACTTAACTGGAACTGTCGCTGCTGTTGCTGTTGCCGTTGGCTTTGGCTTTGGCCGCAAGCCCGATTGCTACTTTGGCGCATTCCCATTCCCATTCGGAATGCCATGCCGCCATGCCGCCATTCCGCCATTCCGCCTTTCTGCATGCCACGCATAATTTGGCCGAACCACACTTTTGCTGTCAGTCGCAGCTGCGCCCATGATTGCCAGAACCGGTGGCCAGAGTTTCAAGCCGTCAACCGGCTAGGCACTCATCGTTTGAAGCATTTAATTGTTGTGTGGCGACGACGCCAGCCTCTTGACTACCGTAACAACTTCCGGCAACAGAAGGCAAGAGGGTGAAGAGATAGATAGAGATAGATCCACTCGAATCGAAACTCTGCTCTGCTCAAATTGCCAATTTGCATAAAATCCACTTGAATGCTGGCTCCCGTCATCGTGTCATCATCAGCATCATCATCATCATTGTGTGCCCGAGTCCGGGCGTTTGTCAAATGTCATTGCAAATTGTCAACAGCAGAACAGACATGACAATTGACAGCGCTTCTCACCTGTCAAAGTGTATGGCCCAAACACGCACTCATAGATATTGGAGATACCTCCACAACCACACGCTAGAGCCATAGCTACCGGAGCCACTTGCCGTTTGCACTTCAGTTAACAAAGGCAGAGACACACATACGTACGGTTCTTAACAAGCGTTTCATATGCCCAAGTGGTTGAGCAGTAGTCTCTAGCATTTAGGCGCCTAACGTGGGGCCGGCGAACACTAAGACTTATGTATTATTTGACACTTTAAAGTGTGCAGCTGAAAGATAAACTGATATGTATGAAGAATAATTGAAGCTGAATAGGTTAAGTTGAAATACATATTTGAATTAGTTGTGTCATTCGTTCAAAAAGTAGCGTAGAAAACTGTATGCACTTGACAGGGCGATTAATGTCGGTTAATTGACAACAAACATTGAATCTGGAAAGTTTTAAGTAATGCTTAAATAAAACACAATAAAATCATAGTTTCAAAAAATCCGGAAACACAGGTGTGATTTATTACGAATACAGTTGAAGATAATTTTATCTAAATGGAAGCATTCAGTTAAGTTGTCTTTGAGAACCAATAATCAATTCAGATTCGTCATTAATTAAACAATAGAAACGATGGAATGAAAACGGTTTTTCTTTTATCTGATTTCAACAATGATCTAAGACCCCTTAACTGCTCCCATTTGATATTGAAATGTTAAGTTATTGAAATTTCTTAACGTATTTCTTGCAAACCACAATCATGTTAGACTCTCTCAATCGATTTGATTCAAATCCAGGTCTATTCTAGTCGGTATCTTTTAGTCACTTTAAATGTTTCTTAAGTTTTATTTAATATGCCCAGTTTTTTAAAGAACAAGATAGAAACTTTTAAAAATGGCTAAGAAGTACAACTATTGCGATTAGCTTTGAAGATAAACAGAACGTGGGCGTAACAGTTTTACGGAGTGAGTAGGGTGAGTAATAGAAATAAAGGCAACATTATTATTTAATTGCCCCCCATTGGGCGCTATTAAAAATAAATATAGACCTCACTCTCTGGAGTTTGAAATGTTTTGCCATAAATTTGCTTTGCTTATTGAACACTTGTCAGAGACTACACGCCTACAACAGACTCCAAACAGACTTCACCCTCCAACCTCGCTGCTCCCCCCGCCCCCTCTTGGGGGGGGGGGGGGGGGTATAACGCATTTCATTAAAAAGCGCTTATGGACTTGTGGCACGGTTTAAGTTCATGTTTGGGCGGAGTTGGGGGAGGCCGACAACATTTTCATTAGCTCTGGTCCATCAACGCGTTTGATCTGTAAAATTAATGCAATGCCGTGCGCGTTTCCCGCAACTCGTCGATGGGTGTGGGTGTGGGTGTGGGACTGGAGTGTCTATAAATAGAAGCCATCTGTTGTCGACAACGAGTGCTCCATTCATTGCATACTTCACAGCATGCTACAGCCGTACATACATCATAGTTTAATGCTGCAGTTTGACCCTCAAGTGACTTTTAATCGTGGTCGACAAGACGCTCACGTACGATGCCGCAAATATGCAGTAATTGAATTTTAATGCACGTATGGCAGGAACTGCTCGCTGTCGTCGTTGTCCTCGTCGCATTAATGTCAAGCTGTAGGGGCTAATCAGCTGTGGCGCAGACACCTGCAGGACATAAATTGCCGAGCAGAGAGAAGAAACCCAACAAGTGCCAGTAGCCGGTAGCTGGTTATGATGCGTTGGCATGCGCCCTTTTCCGTCTAGCCGGGGGTAAATACTGGCCAGCCTGAAGTCGGGACAGTCTGTGGCAAATAGAAGTAAATCAGAATGCACAGGACTCGCATACATACTGCGAGTATTTTTCAACAAACACAGTCGTGCCAAAGGCGGCAGACAGTTAGGTGAGAGGCAGGAACGGGGGCTGAGGAGAGGTCTTTCAACACTGCAGCTCCTATGTATGTATGTGTACGTTGCACACACGGCTCCTGTTTCTGCTTCCTTTATTTAATAACGCATTTTTCAATTCATTTGATTTATGACCGAAGCGTGAGTTTCAGCAGTTCCTATTTTTTTCTGGACGGAGAAGGGATTTTCAGGTTTAAGTTCAGCGCTATTTTAAAGCTACTTTTGCAGCTGAAATGCTGAATGGAACATTTTGGATTTTAAAAACGAACTGGTTGCAAATAGAATTGGTTTTACTGAATTTAGAAATTGAACTACAAGTTTTAGCGAAATGTAGCTTGAAAGACTGTGCAGTTCTTATTATAAGGAAATTAGTGTTATGTGTCTTTCCAGACTCGTTTTTGTGTAGAATTGAAAAAGGTCTTCTCTGCTCTCAATAACAAATAGAATCTGAAAAATGTGAAGTAACTTCTTTGTAACATTGAATTCATTGGTACTTATGATAAGACATTAAAACATTATAAAATAAAATCGTAGTTTCAAATAATAATGAGAGAACTAATAAACAATTCTGGCCGTTTGGCAATTAATATCCCCCACCGTATCGGATCGGATGCGTTATTAGATATTTTTGTAATTTTTATAGGCTTTTTTATTTCTGTTGTTTTATTTAGCTTTAGTTTTTTCTTCTTTTCTTTTTTCTTTTACATCGACAACATTGTTTGTCGATGAAATAAATAAATAAATAAATAAATAAATAAA